TCATTGGCTGGATCAGAAACCAGCATCTGTAAAGCCTCTTTGTCATCGATTCCTTTATTTCAGCTTTAGTGGTAAGTGAGTGGTTTAAATGTTAGAGTTCTGGGGAAGGGAAACCCGTGTGGGAAGTTCCCCTGTACAGGCGCATGCCTCCTGGAGCGTCCTGCTCATGTGTCTACAGATTCATGTGATTTCAAAGGAGACAATTGGGTGAGCAATAGGACTGGGGACAGAGCACTCTAAGTCAGAGTCAGGACATGGCTGCTCTAGCACTAGCTACTGTGTAAGTAAAGTATTCAGTGTCACCATCTTAATGTATGTCCCTGCCAGGAAATCTAGGAGACAGGTCAATGGGAGGGAACCGACTCCGAGTCACCCACATGTGTGCTCCTGGTTCAGCTTTATCAGTGGAATGGGATGGCTGCAGACCCATCAGGGAGTAGCTGCTTCTCACAGCTTCTGAGTCAACACTATTTCATGGTTTGTTAGGCGTGAGGAGAGAGCTGGGGATGGAGAAACAGCTAAAGTCTCTGTGACCCCAAGGAATCTAGGAGGGTGTAGAACTCAAGAAAAAATGGCATCTGGTCCAGTCCTTTGCCCCACTCATTATTAAAAACAAACCCCAAGTCAAACTTGGCTTCTTTCCGTTGTGTGCTATTGGAACTGGGATCCTGTTCCCAATTCCATGAGTGTCCGTTTGGGTCAGACCCGTGAGCAGGAGCATTACCAGGCCCCTGCAGCCATAGTAGTTTCTACAGTGTCTCCTGGTGCTATATCTTGTCTATGCTGTTTCTTTGCTTTTACTGTGGAGAGCGAACCTCTTACCAAGTACCTCACTGTGTCCTCAGAAATTCTGACTTACCCAGTTATCACACTGTTCTCTGAGGTGGTGTTACCACAATCACCGTTCATATTAGGGATGAGGAAGCTGGGGCAGAATCACTAAGCAACCTGTGTGAAGACCCAGGAGTCAAAGATGAAGCCACAGTCGGCATCCAAGCAGTCTGGTTTCAGAGGTGTGTGATGTGTCTGCCCCACACTCTCATTGCTGGTGGGCTGGTCTTTCATATGACCACTGTCACTGCCCACATGGGACAGCTGGACGAGTCTGCCTGGACTTTCCTCCACCTTTCCACACGCCCTGCATGTATCCTGTCTTAGGGATGGACATCTGCTGCTGTTGCTGAGTGTGCCCTTTCCTCTCAGGTCCTGAGGGGTGATGTCTGTGCAGACAGCAGAGTGGACAGCCCAGGGTCCACAGGTGTTATAATGTCTTGTGTCAGCTTGAGTAGCTGTCTGATCAATAAAATCAAATATCTTAGAAGTAACGTCAGATACATAAGATGCAGGCATGACCATGAATGTACACAGTAACCACTGTACATGTTGGGGAATCTGACGCTGTACTTACATTTTTCTTTTAGGTAGGGTCTTAATATGTAGCCCAGACTGACCTGTAACTTGCTATGTATACCAGGTTGGCCTGGAACTCAGAGAGCGCCACATGCTGTTGCCTCCCTAGTGTTGGACATGTGTGGGCAGGTCCAGCTATACTCACCTTATAGACATTTAAAGATTAAATAGGCATGTATGATTAGTAAACATTGTGTTTTCACACAAGGAACTAATTAACCACAGTTTCTTTAAGCTGGAGATGCAGGGCCTGGAAGGCTGTTGTTTCGGTCACAAAGGACTCAGGTGTTACCAGGCAGCTCCCTCTACCCAGATCCCAGGTCTCCAGGCCCTGTCACCACTCTGATTTCTGTCGATTTTCCCTTATAACTGATACATTTGGTGGTTGTAACAGGTCCTTGAAGCTATTTTATGATATTGTTCCCTTAAATTTTTTATGCAATTTTTAAAGAGTTCAGATAGTGCTTAGAATTCAGGGTTAGATTTTAATTTAACTTGTGTTATCTTTTAGTTAACATACACAGTGTCATATTGGACTTTTAGTATTTTTTTTCCTTTTTTTTTTTTTTTAATTTACTCTGGATTTTTCTACGTGGTTCTGACATGTGCTGTTTGACCAAGATAACTTCAAACTCATGGTAATCCTGTTTGAGCTTTTTAAGTGCTGGATCACAGGTGCAAACCACCACAGCTGTCACTTGTTGTTGTATTAAAGTTGCGACCTGGTCACTTATCTGCCCCACTATGAGAGTCCAGATCCTGGTTACATCTGCAGCTTCATGAAGCCCTTCCAGTGCACTGTGGTGTTACCAGAATCAGTCTATAAGGTGTGAAGTTCGCTTTGGCTCCCAGTTCACAGGCTTCATCCCCAGTCCTGTGACTCCATTTCCTTTGGGTTGCGGTGAGGCAGATCATCATGGACACAGAGGGGAACGACTGCTCATCATGGGAGCCTGGAAGCAAGGGAGGGGTGGAGCCTCTACAACCCCAACACACCCTTGGCCGATTTTCTTCTAGGCTCCACCTCCTCAAGCTTCTGCCTTCTCTCAGTGATGTCCTGGGCAGCAGCCGGGCCTTTGATGCGTGGATTCTCGGTAGCCATTCAAGATGGAGTCTGTAAAGCAGAGAGTGATGTGTGCTCAGGTTATCACAGATCCCAGAGGTGTTTACAAATTACATCTGCTTCAAGCCACTGCCTGTGGTGTGCATTTCTTCTGCAAGTGAAGTCGAATCTCCTGAGGTTCAGATGGCGTGTCTGTGCTCGCTCTGCTGCCTGTGTGACTCTGGTTTTTCTAAAATGTTACTTAAAGAGAAAAACTTGTAGAATAATAAAACCCATACTTTATATTTATATTGCAAGTTAATAAAACTTATTATTCAAGAATTGAATAATGGAAATATCTAAATATCTTCAAATAGACTAAGCAAAACTTGGGGGGAGTTGCCTGATATATTTATTAAAGAAAAATTCAACATCATTCTTAGCATTATATTAATAGTGTCGTTAGGAGCCGTGGGGTCCTGATGGTGCACTTGATCCCTGAAGTGGACACAATAGAGTCCCGGGTGTCCATTTTGGTGACGAGTCGATTACTAATCTTACACTTGGCCCCCCTGACCAAGCACTGATTTCAAAGGGATGCTGGCTGAGGAGAGGGTTTCTTCTTGAGCTTCCTGGAAGGAGTCCACAGCTCTTTGATCCTATACATGTGACCTGAAGATGTCCTGTGTAAAACTTTGGCCAGTATAAATGGCAGTTTGTCTTCTGCAGCCAGATGGAGTCTGCACTGCCCTCAGTCTAAGGGCCCTGTCTCCACACAGGACCACAAGGTGAGTCAGGGAAGGCACCATGGGATGAGGTTCGGGATTCCCTTCCTTTCAAGTCAGGGCAGAAGTGGGTGACAGTCTTGTGTGAGACAGGAGGGACATGAACCCTGCTGAGGACTCTAGAGAAGGCTGGGCTGGGCAGGAGTTGGCAGAAGCTCAAGCCACTGGTGTGCTAATGTGATATCAGCCAACCAGCAAAAGGACTCCTGATGATGCTTCTGTTGCTAGGTGAAAAGCCTGTGTGAAGAGGCCTGGGAGAGCTGGAAATCCCCAGCGTGGCACAGGCTTTCTCTCACAGCCCCAGACAAAATGTGGGAGTTTTCTTCTCAGGGAAGGTGTAGAAGAGGCAGAGGCTGCAGATTATTGTGTGGAGGTCTGAGGTGGGGAATGAGGAGACTGAGAACATCCACCGGCATGTTCCCTGAATGGCCATGTTTGTCTCTAACCTGTTGCCCATCTGAGTTGATGATTCTCCTTCTTGCTCTCTGTGGAGGCTGAGGAGATCTGTGTCATCAGACAGAGATCTGTGCAGAGCTGCTGGTGGAAGCCTAGGTCTGTCCCTCTCTGGTTCTCTGTATCAGGGAGCCAGTGTGAACTCCCAAATGCTGCAGTTCACCTGTGCTGTCTGAGCCCTCACAGGACATTTTTGTGCATCCCCACCCCTTTCTCTCTTCCCTGGTCAGCTCTGCTCTCAGATCCCGACCCCTGTTTAACTAGGAGCTAACATGATAGAGATGGTGTGGTGGTTTGAGGGAAAGAGACTTATTGTTTAGTCACTGGCGTTTGGCGGACACTGCTCCAGCTGATGGATAATTAAACTCAGGAGTGTGTGCTCTGAGAAGAGACGTGTTGGAAGCACACGTTGGTGACTCTGTTGTTTGGGCTGACATAGTGCAGTGTGACAAGCCTGTGGATGTCCCTTCCTGAAGCTGCTGCTTTGCACCATCCACCTTTTGTCCTGAGATCACAGGCAGCTGTATCTGGAAGCCCTAAGGTTATGGAGTTTTCCTTTGCTGACATCATGGCTGTGGAGGATATGACCAGCAGAAGACTCCACAAGAGAAAAGTTGAGTTGAGTAATTTCTCCCGGATTTTCATTGGAATATCATGAACACAGTGGACTCCTGTGTGGGGAAGGTGCATGAGCCAGCGGGGCTGGGACACACATTAACCTGCCGTTTCCCACACACGACAGCTCATGCTTCTCACCATTAACCACACCACACTGCTCTCTCATGTGAGCTTACCAATACCCAGTGCACAGTGCAGGGAACATGGGTTTGTATTTTACAAAGAGTCTCTAGGATTAGAAAGAGGCTCAGAGGCTCTCTAAGAACTCTGCTTTCTCACCTGAGGTGCCCCAGAGGGTCAGATATAACAAAAGATAATTTCTCTGTCCCCCAACACAAGTCACACTCATTCCTCCCACTACAGCCTCAAGTGTAAGAACAGTAGACTTGAAATAATGTAAGAACAGTAGACTTGAAATAATTATCCCAAAGTTGCCTATACTTGACTCACTTTTCTCCTTGGTTCTTTAAACCCCAAACACAGACAGTCTGCAGTTTGGAAAGGTTTTACTCTGTAACTGAGAGGAGCGGTCACCTCAAATGTCCATCCAGCAGGGCTCCATGTTGAAACAGACCATGCCCTGCAGAGAGAGCCTTTGTAAACAAAGTCTGCCCAGAGACAGATGACAGGCTTCAGCTCCCGTGCTGATTGGTTCCTCACTTGGGACCAACCCCCAACCTCTGGGGTTTCAGATCACCCTAGGCTCCAGAACTTTGCTTTCTGAAGGGGACACAGCAGGTGTGAGTCCTGGTGACTGCCATTCCCTGTCTTAGAGATGGCTCTGCAGACCTCCAGCCTCCTCCTCTCAGCAGCTGTGGTGGCACTGATGGTGCTGAGCTGCCCAGGGACTGAGGGCGGAGACTCCCCAAGTAAGTGAGGGCATGGGTCTCCAGAGCCAGCACTCTGGGAGGACTGGTTCTGAGGGACCCTGGGGGCCCTGGGATATGTGTGTGTGTGTGTGTGTGTGTGTGTGTGTGTGTGTGTGTGTGTGTGTAAGAGGTGGAATGGCAAAATCTTGATTTTTAGAGCAGTCTTTTACCATAGATTTCCTTTCTCTGAAGAGAGGGTGAGACTCCATTGTCATTTCTATGTTCTAATATTGAAGTTAGGATGGTGCCTGCTGCACAGGGCGAGCCTGGCATAGAAAAGTAGGAGGAAGAGGAGGCAGAGTTTAAATTGACCACCAAAGATAAGACAGAGCACAGGGTTGTGCTTGAGGAGACAGCAGGGCTTACAATACCAGCCCTTCCCCTCCCCTCTCTGCCCCCAGCACCCTGTCTGGAGGAAATGCCAGATTCTGAAATGAAGAAACAGGTTAGCGATGGTCTGTTGTCCTGGTGTTTGAGGAAAATTCCTGATGTGGCGTGGAGGTTTTAGAGAGCGAACTCTAGGTATCTTAACTCTGAGAGAAGCCAGCGGCCAAGGAGTCTAAATTTTTCGGTCAGATGGAACCGAGGAGTCAAATACGAGGTTTGTAAATTGAATTTCCAAGGAAACACTAGGCCTAGAACACTAGGGAAATATGTGCCACATACCCAGTGTGTCTGTGTGTGTGTCCTAGTTCGGAGGCCGGAGAATATAGAAATCCCCAGTCCCCTAAGCCGGTGCACAGAGGTGGCTTTCTTTTCTTTTTTCTTTTTCTCTTCTTTTCTTTTTTTTTTTTTATTTCTGGTTTTTCGAGACAGGGTTTCTCTGTGTAGTCCTGGCTGCCCTGGAACTCACTCTGTAGACCAGGCTGGCCTCGAACTCAGAAATCTGCCTGCCTCTGCCTTCCAAGTGCTGGGATTAAAGGCGTGGCGGCCAGAGGTGGCTTTCTTCTTGCAGTTACACTTAAGATGCCCTGAGTGACCACCACACAAGCAGTTCCCAGAGGTTGCCTGGATTCCCAGTTGTCTGTTTTGCAGTCGGGTTTTCCCCGAGGACGAGCGCCCCCTAGGGGCGGGGAGGTCTGGGATTTTTGCACATAGGAAACTCTCATGGGGTGGCGTTGGGGTCGCTGAAACAACCGAATATTCTGTTTTTCTTTGCATCATACTTTTATTCGTTCGCTGAGAATTTCGTACAATTTTAGTCATATTTTACCCCCTTTTCCAGATCCACCCCCGCTTCTACCCACACAACTTTTGGTGTTCCCTCAATTTTTTTTCAAACGTACTAAGTACAATTTGTGCTTCTTGAGGAGTATCCTTATGAGGACGAGCTCGGTCGCCCCATCGCTTCCTTGTTCTTATTACCCGGGTGGAAGTGTCTCGAGCCGCCCGGGGCTCCGGGGAAGCAGCTCCGCGCAGGCCGAGTTCGGTCTAAGCGCGGCGGGGGCGGCACAGCGACTGCCCGGCCCGAGGCCCCGAGGCCCGGCGGCCCCAGAGAGCGGTCGCCCCACGCGGGAAGCGCCGGCGCGGGGTGGGGCCGCAGGGCCCGTGGTCTCCGTGGTCCCCGCTTTCCGGTGACCGCGTCCGTCCGCAGGGTATTCCGTGTTCCAGTTCAAGCCCTACTGCTACTACACCAACGGGACGCAGCGCATACGGCTCGTGACCAGACACATCTACAACCTGGAGGAGTACGTGCGCTACGACAGCGACGTGGGCGAGTACCGCGCGGTCACCGAGCTGGGGCGGGGCATAGCCGAGGACTGGAACAAGGAGTACCTGGAGCGGACGCGGGCCCAGCTGGACACGGTGTGCAGATACAACTACGAGGGTCCGGCATCCCACACCACCCTGCGGCGGCTCGGTGAGCGCGTAGGGTCCCTCGGGGTCCGCGAGGGGACACGGAGTCAGAGTCCCGGCGTGAGGACCGGCCCTGGCCTCTTCCCTCTGCCCCGCATCACCCAGCGCCTCCTTGAGCCTCCCTCCTGTCTCACCTTTGCCCTTTGCCCTCTGACCCCTGGCTCTGCTGTGACCTCAGTCACCTGTCAGCGCCGAGGCCAGGAAGCTGAGCAGGGATGAGGGACTTTGTCCGGTGAGGGCTGTTCGCTGCCTGGCACTGACCTGAAGGCATCACTGTCATTTTCCTCGTTCTCTGAGGTAGACTGTGTTGACTTGGGTCACACTAAAAGTTTAATACAAAATCTGAGGGACTCATTTCCGTCTCTACTCCCTGATACTGTGCGAACCTCTCACACGTGATGTCAGTTAAAGCGTCGTGTTCAGATTTAATATCTACCTTCCTTCCTTCCTTCCTTCCTTCCTTCCTTCCTTCTTTTTTGGTTTTTCGAGACAGGGTTTCCCTGTGTAGCCCTGGCTGTCCTGGAACTCACTCTGTAGACCAGGCTGGCCTCGAACTCAGAAATCCGCCTGCCTCTGCCTCCCAAGTGCTGGGATTAAAGGTGTGCGCCACCACTGCCCGGCCTAGATTTAATATCCTACATCAGGACCAACGGTTAACTGGAAAGGTTCCCCTCTTGCTTTCTGGGAGGCCTTGTTTGTTATTCAACTGTTGGCAACTGATTCCTCACAGCAAGGGAACAGTGATGGCCGCCAGGGATCAATGCACGTGACTGAGGAAAGAAAACTGGGGCAGGGAGAGGAGAAAATGAGAGAACACAGTGTGTTCTCAGTTCATGAAACACACGTTAATGTGTATACTGTTCTCAACTTGAAGGATGACAGCACCGGGCGAGAAGGCTTCTGAGGTAGTGGGAACACTGTATCAAAGTCAATCCAGAAACAGGTCTCTCTGACTGCGTGACAGTCTGAGGGATGAAGGAAAAATGTCGAACTGAAGTATTTTTTGCATTTTTTCCCCCAAAAATTATTAACTTGAAATTGGAACAGATTTTCTTTTGTATGTTTTAGAAAAACAGTTCATTTTTATGTTTTTGCATAAATAAAAATATTTTATTTACACATAAATTTAAAAAATGCACAGAGGGTTTACAAACAGGGTTTCTGTGTGAAGTCCTGGCTGTCCTAGAACTTGCTCTATATCCCAGGCTGGGCTCCCAGTAGAAGAGATCCTGCTGGCTCTACCTCCTGTGTGCACCTCCACTTCCCGACTTCTTTTGTTTTACTACCTTTCACATTACATATGAACATGGCCACTGACTGTTGTTTTCCTAGTGAGTTAAGTTTGTATTTGTGGAGTTGATCTCCATTCACTGTCAGAACCGAGGCATTCATCCCCACCCTGCCTCTTCCCCAGGGGAGTCTCCACGTGGCCCCATCTCACTCACTGTCTTCTCTGTCACCCCAGAGCAGCCCAAGGTCGCCATCTCCCTGTCCAGGACGGAGGCCCTCAACCACCACAACTTGCTGGTCTGCTCGGTGACAGATTTCTACCCAGCCCAGATCAAAGTGCGCTGGTTCCGGAATGGCCAGGAGGAGACTGTGGGGGTCGTGTCCACACAGCTTATTGAGAACGGAGACTGGACCTACCAGGTCCTGGTGATGCTGGAGATGACTCCTCAGCGGGGAGAGGTCTACACCTGCCACGTGGAACACCCCAGCCTGGAGAGCCCCATTACAGTGGAGTGGCGTAAGGAAGTTTTTTCTTTTTCTTTTTAAAGATTTATTTATTTTATGTATATGAACACACTGTAGCTGTCTTCAGACAGACCAGAAGAGGGCATCCATTACAGATGATTGTGAGCCACCATGTGGTTGCTGGGAATTGAACCCAAGACCTCTGGAAGAGCAGTTGGTGCTCTTAACCACTGAGTCATCTCTCCAGCCCCCAATTTTTTTTTTGTTTGTTTTTTGTTTGTTTTTTGAGACAGGGTTTCTCTGTGTAGCCCTGGCTGTCCTGGAACTCACTCTGTAGACCAGGCTGGCCTCAAACTCAGAAATCCGCCTGCCTCTGCCTCTCAAGTGCTGGGATTAAAGGTGTGCGCCACCACTGCCCGAGGAAGTTTTTTCTTATACTGTGGGCCCCACATGACATGGGATTTTAGCTGTCATTACCCTGTCCCTCTGATATCACGCACCCTGTCACTTGTCCTGCATGGTCTGCTTCCACTACTGAGCTGAGAACCACAAGGAAGCATATCTCTCTCCTCACAGTCAGGACATCAGGAGAGCCCTGACCTAACTGTCTGCCCAGACAGCAGTTCTGGAGATGACTGCATATACTGGGGCCTGGAACTCAATGTCCAGAGGAATTGGCAATGATAGCTAGTGAGTGGGTAGTTTAGCTCAAGATTATAGATAAGTCTGTGGGGTGCAAACACCCACATATCCCCTCCCCCACCATTGTGCTCAGAGCTCCTGGCCCTTCCTGGCCCTGGGTCAGAACACAGAACTGGATCCTGCCAGATCCCTCACCTCCTGTGGTTCAGGCTGGACTGTGGGCTCTCAGTCAGGGCTGCTGTGCCCTGTGGGGACAAAAGCTGACACTGGGCTCTGCTCCCCAGGGGCACAGTCTGAGTCTGCCCAGAGCAAGATGCTGAGTGGCATTGGAGGCTTTGTGCTCGGGGTGATCTTCCTCGGGCTTGGCCTGTTCATCCGTCACAGGAGTCAGAAAGGTGAGGAGCTCTGGAGACCTGGGGGTGCTGGGCTGTGCTGCAGGAAGGAGCTGGGCTGTGGGTGGGAGTGCACGGAGGTCCCAGGGGAGACACTGGGATCTGGTTTTGCTGGTTGGGTTGTGTGGGACTGCCACAGACCCATGATGGAGCTTATTCTGTGGCTCCTGTCCCTGTCATCCACCCTTGCTTGCTCTTTCAGGAAGCTTCAGGCAATGAGAAAGCATGGGTCTTGCTTTCTCTCCTTCCTGTGGCAGTTTGATCCATTTCGGGGGTGGGGGGCAGTGCTCAGGGTCTTAGTGAATACAGACATGGAGAGAACACTCCAGCTAAGCTGCAGGACCCATTCATTGTACCTCAGGCTGCTTGAGAGAGCCCTGTTTTTATAACAACACCTTTCTCTATGTGACTTCCCTTTGCAGGACCTCGGGGGCCTCCTCCAACAGGTAATATTTCAGCTCTTATCTGAGCGCGGTGCAGGGGTAAGGGTGTGAGGGAAGGGTGGTGCAGGGGTGAGGGTGTGAAGGAAGGGTGGTGCAGGGGTGAGGGTGTGAGGGAAGGGTGGTGCAGGGGTGAGGGTGTGAGGGTGTGAGGGAAGGTGTGAGGCAGCTGTGTCTGGCACAGTCTTGGTTCACAGTCTGTCTATGCTGTGGGGTTGAGAGGGTCACAGCCAGTGTTCATAGGAAGCTCCGGGGCTTCGTCCCCAGCAGGACTTTGTTTGCCACCATCACTTGAGTGGTGTCTTGAGTGGAGCCTGAGCCATGAGTGTAGACACCAAGATATTGCCTGCTCTGTGCCCCACATGGAGACTGTGACCATGGACAGTGACAGTGGTGGGAAGAGGCTGATGGCCCTGCAGAGGAGACGGATCTCTCCAATTTCCCCGAAGATCGGGGATTCTCCATATTCCCTGGGAGGGTGGTGGCTTCTGTTCCCCCTCCACACGTTCGTGTCCTGTGAGGCTCTGTGTCCCCTCCTTAACTGCTTTCACCTTTGTACAGGCAGTGGGGAGGAGGAGACATGACCAGGACACCAGATGTCTGTGTCTAATTCTAGGGGATTTGGAACAATCAGGCATCTTGAGGTCACTCCTGTGACCACTCCCTCTCTCTCCTACAGGGCTCCTACAGTGACTCAGAGTGTTTTGAGTGAGTTGACTGTCTCACACTGTAAGGCCTGCATTTCCCTGCTCCAAATACCTGTCTGTGTCAGCCTGCCACTCTTGGATTCAGAGTCTAGCATGATGCCAGTGTACCCAGCTCTTGTGATCCCCGAGTCCCCAAGTCTGTGGCTCTGCCCTGGGCTAATTCCAGAGACACCATCCATGTACAGAAGCACCATCTTCTCAAACCTCAGGCTTTCTGCCTCCACTGTCACACTCAGGGTGCTGATGCACTGAAACCATTTGCCTTTTTCATAATTAAACATATTCTGAATTGTTTGTATTCTGAACGTCTGTAACTGAGTGGGCTGGATGGGAGTCTTATGGGACAAGGTGACCCAGCCAAATGGTGGGGAAGTAGCAGTTTCTACTACAGAGGCGACCAGGAGCATCCTGAGCCTGTAAGGACAGAGGAGGCAGGCTCCAGCTGTGGCATCCTCATGGCCAGGACATTTCCTGTTCAGTGCACTGTTCTCACCCCAGCCTCCTTCAGGCTGGTGAGGACAGGGAAAGTAAACATGGCAGAACTGTTGGGCATGAACACTGTGACCTCTCCACAGTGTATCATGTGTGTCCTGTGAGGTCACAGTGACTGACTGAGGCTCACCTTCATTTTTGATAGATTATAGTCTTTCAAATAACACTTTTGGGGGTTGCAAATAATAAAAAGCAACTTAATCTTCTTTTGTCACTGTTGTTAGGAAGCTAGGCTTGGTTTCGTAGGCGACTAGACTCGTAACTGGTGAGACAGTCACCTCCCTCAGCCATTCCTCCATCTGTCCTGTCTTCCTTTCCGGCATCTCCTGTGTGTGCACATGCTGTAGAGAGTATCTTATGTATTATATGGATGCTTTACTTGTCAATTAAAAAGTCTATGGCTTAGGCAAGACAGAGGTTGACATCCGGGAGAGAGAAAATATTCTGGGATAGAGTGAGATGGGGGGGAGATTCTCTGGGAAGATGTGAGGAGTCAGACACATGGTTCCTGAGCACTGGTAACCAGTCACATGGCAGAATGTAGGCTAGACTATATGGAATATTTTAAGTTATATCTAGTCATAGAAGAGCCTAACTATATGGCCAAAGTATCTGTAAATATATTTGAGTCTGAGTCCTATTTCTGGGAGCGTGGGGCTGGGAGGATGAACCAGGCTAAACTTCTCCAACGCACCCCTGTGCTGGGCTTGCTCTGTCTTTGACTCTCGTGTCTGGTTCACTGTCCTGAGCCTTTTCTCTGTGTTTTTCTCTGTCTACTCCTCTGTCATTTGTTCTTTCCTCTGTATTTCTTTTGCGTCTCTGTTTTCTACATCTCTCCTGTTACCTCAAATTTTATCTCTCTATGTGTATTTCTGACACTGTTCTATGTCTACCAATGTTTTGACTGTCACGCCCACCTCGCCAGCAAGGATGATGCAACAACAGGATCCTTCCTCACACACTATACTGGGGAACACACCATTGATTGTAAAGTGAAAGACCCTGAGGCCTGAACTGGGTGCTGCTTAAATAGTTATCACAACTGTGTATAAGTGTCTAATTGGTGCTTCTTGCAGAACTTCAGTTACATACTGCTCGGGAGGGTGAGGAGCTGCGTCTGAAAGATATGCAGGCTCACATCAGGTGTTTATGACCCTGAATGCAGCTGTTTTCCACCTCAAACAGAGGAAACAAGCGCCATCTTCTAATGGCGGCTCCTTACATCTCCCCCTATTTTATTTTTTAAGAGCAGGCACTGGCCAATGTCCCTGTCTTAGGCTAGTTGACGTGCCCCCATAGCCAGCACCAAAAGGACAAAACTCCAATAAGGAAGGGTGAGTTCCCTGTCTTAGGCTACGAGGGTTGCACCCACGTCTGGCATTCTCTGTGCAAGAGAATGTGCACCCAGGTCATGGCCACTCGTTATTCCCGTCATGGGGTTGACTCACAGCTTTAATCCTGGATGGTGTGCCTCTGGCTTATGGCGTCAACCTACTCCCGTCATTGGGATCAATGGCAGCTGGCCTTGACAAGAGAATTACAGCTCTTTATGAAGAGCCACTAGCCACACTTGGGGGGATGTACCTTGTTCTAGGGCTAGCAATGCTTGAGTAATTAGTACTTTGTCTCTTCATTGACAAAATTTAAGTCTGCAAAGCAACCACAGACACAATACCAATCCACAGCAAACTGCAGCCCCAAAGAGAACTATCCCTATCCATTCCTTAAAGTAGGAAAATGCCGAAGTTAGCCAAGAAGTGAAATCTCCCACAGTGATAGGATTGATGCGGGTTCCATTCAGTACTGTAATCTCCATCAATAGACGATTCTGCAACCACTCCACTTGCTGAGACCAATTGCCTTTTAAAAAATTAGACAACAGATTACCATCTTTAAAAGTAGAATTATCATACCTCAGTGGGGTTAATGCACATGTGTTTAGTATGACTAACACAACTTAGCTGTACAATATCTATAATCTCCTCCAATTTGCTTTGAAGAAGGTTCACTCTCTGATTAACCAGAAGAATACCAGAAGTGAGATGAGCATTCATTTGATGCTGTGTAACCAAAGCATCCGCAGCTCTTTCTACTAAAGCATCAACAGTTTGAGCTGCATTTACTTGATTGGCCATTGCTATGCCTGCAGTCACAGCAGCTGCTGCTGACACTGCTGTAGCAGTCACGATTGCAGCTGTAATACCAAAATGTCTTTTTTGTCTAAATAAAGTGGCTATAGGAAAATCTTCTGGATCTGCTTCCACAGGAATTGGCACAAAAGTAGGTATATGTACTATTAAGGCCAAAGATAAGGAACCGTTCCAGCATTCAGCTAAGTAGCAGGTAACATTATTTGTACTACAATTCAGAAGACTTGTATTATTTTCAAACTCAGCCAATACGAAGAAAAATGGGGTGAAACACATACGGGGGCAGCTGGGACAGATGAACTCACCAGCTCACCATTTACCTTAATCCCATCCAAATAAGGATAGCTATTATTAGAACGGGTGGCTGAGACATTTTGTATCACATGATATAGACCTTGCATAGAGACAAATGCAGAAAGGCTAGTACTGGCTCCAGCTATATTTGTTAGTATCCATTGATAAAAGGGCCATATATTTCGCCTTCCTGTTCAAATACCAGTCCTGTTGATAGCAGCCCATTTTATAGGAGGTGAAAGGGCAAATCCTGAAGCAATCTCCATGTCGGGAGATTCTCTAGATTAACATGGCATAAAAACTGGAGGAAAAGATAGATCAGATGGACACCAAGGCAAAACTTTCTTGTATGTTGCATTACGGGTGGGCCATTGTGATGTCCAAGGTGCAGTAACATTACTCCGGAGCAACATGGTAGTTATATTTAATAAGGCCCTGTCATTATTAGCAATATTTCCTGAACTTTCCATCTTACCAGCTGACACTTGCTTTAGTGCCTCAGCCAAGACTCCGGTACCAACCTTGCTAAATGCTATAGGATCCACCCAGTTTGTTAACGTGGTGTTCCTGAGCACGATACATGGAGTATGAGCTTTAGCCTTAGTAGTAAAGCAGAGAGTAAAATTCAATGGAAATGCAGTGGCATTGTATAAAACAGGCTCCTGTCCCATAGGCATAGCACATGGGACTTCCATAAAACATTGAGTAGAAGTAAACAATGGCAACACAGTAGAATTGTCATGAACGGGCATAGGTACGGGCCAAGATCTAACTATTGCCCATAACTGAATACTTAGCACTTCTTCATAAGTCATCATGACTAAAAGTGTCCACCACAGCATCTTCATTCTTCTTAGAAAACGTCCTTGGCTCCGCAACAACTCTGGTTAATCTTGCTGGCACCCAGACAGGATTAGACAGGATTTTCTTCATTCTGTGGGAAAACACAAACAGCTCCCCTGGATCTGGTAAGCACTGGATCCGGGCCTCTCCATGAGTTCTTCAAGATATCCTTCCATTTTACTGTCTCTTGCTGTTTTGTCTCAGGATTACTGTGCCTGTCAGCAGCAGTCAGCCCCTTCTCATCCAGTTTTAAAAAGTTAAGTGTAAGTAGAGTTAGAGACAGGGCTGCTTTAGGAGCCAGTGATGATTCCATAATTTCCCCTTTTTGTTTTTGCAGATACATTTTCAAAGTTAGATTGGCTCTTTCAATGATGCCTTGACCCTGAGGATTGTATGATAATCCAGTACGATGCTGCACTTGCATACGCACACAAAATTGTACAAAAGTTTTAGCTGTATACGCAGGCCCACTATCAGTCTTTAACAGACGCGATTTACCCCACACTGCCCAAGCTTCTAAACAATGGGCAATAACATGAGAAACCTTTTCTCCAGCCATAGGCGTAGCATGGATAATTCCAGAGCAAGTATCTATAGATACATGGATATATTGTAATTTCCCAAAATGTTTAATATGTGTCACATCCATCTGCCAGACATCTAAAGGTCTAAGCCCTCTTGGGTTTACTCCAATGCATGGAGGGTGGATAAATTCAACACATTTTTGACAGTTCAACGTAATATCTCGAGCTGCAGCTCTTGGGATACCAAATTTAAGTTTGAGAGTGGAGGCTGGAACATGAAACAGTTTATGAAATTCCTGAGCAGCTGTAAGATTCGTTTGCAAAACAGGGAATGCTTGGCGAGTAGCCGCATCAGCTAAAGCATTACCCAGCACCATAGGACCTGGTGATAAGGTATGGGCTCTAATATGTTGAATAAAAAATTTTGAGTTCCTAGATAAAATACACTATTGTATTTGTTTCAGAATGGTGGCCACAGGACTGGTTGATTTTATTGTACTTGCGACCTCTAGAATACGAATTGCATTCACCACGTAGTGAGCATCAGAAATGATATTTATGGGACCAGGGAAAGCCTTGAAGACTTCTAAAACCACCTGACACTCTACCAATTGTGGAGTGTCAGGAGCAAATTTAAACTTTACTGGGCTAGCAAAAGCAGTCACATAACATCTAATGTCTGACTTCGATCCATCTGTATAGATATCTATAGCCTTTGAAATAGGGACATTGGCAGTTACTTTAGGAAAAATTATGGGATGTTTTGACACAAACTGTAATAACGAATGTTGTGGGTAGTGATTATCTATATGACCTGGAAAAACACATTTCAGTATAGCCCACATATCTATTGCTGTGCAAAGCACTTGAACTTGCTGAGTCATATAAGGAATTATAAGAGTATCAGGGTACTGTCCAAAATGTGTTATAGAAGCCTGCAGTCCTTTTAAAGATAACTCTGCTATAGTTGTAGGATAATGATCCAAGGTTCTGTT